GAACAGTCTTAAAATGATTGTTGAATATTATTACTTCTAAAGAATAATTATTGTTGGGCCCCCTGGTGCACGCCCCCCTCGCCGCGCCTAGGCCGCAGTCACATTTTCATCATTTTCGTGCGGAAGTCTCAGGCAAAACGGGGGAGTCCGGATCCGGTTGTTTTGTTGACGCCCGCTTTCCCTAACAAAAAACAATATAAAATGACATGTCTTGTTCTAACATAACCAAACTTCAAGAATCCATTGCAAAAAATGACACGAAGTGCACACTCGCGCGCGCAAGATGAAATCCTTCCAAAACCTTAGTTTTCGTAGCGATTTTAATATAAAAACATGAAAAACCCAATGGTTGTTTTTTCAAAAAAAAGTTGTGAAGATTCTATCCCGCGCGCTCTTGCGGATTCGTAGGAAACCCAACATTTTTTAACATTTCTGTCAAACGGGCTTTTGCGAGCAACTTTTTCACGTGCTTCGAACTTCTGCAACAACGGTTGCGCACCTGCCAGGGCCATCATCCCTGTCAAATAATACCATGCGGGACACATTCGTTTTTTCTTCGCGCGCGCACGCCGTCGTCGTCGGCCGCGGGGCCCTGAATAGTAGCCACGGTCGTCCGCATGCCACGAAGTGAAGTGTCCGAACGTCATAGGGCGGGAAGCTGGGTGTGGGTGGTGGCGAAGAGTCGTTTGGAAATTTGGTAGAGCTTGAACCGGCCCCCCCACAAAGTGGGGGTATTGCCCGCCTCCTATGAAAACCCTGGCACTGGTGAGAACGGAGTGTCCCCACGTGCTAGTAATTGTTGTTGTTGTTGTTGCTGTTGCTGTTTTTGGTGTTCGTGCTGTTTTTGTTGTTGTCGTTGTCGTTGTCGTTATTGAATTCTCATTTTTGAAGAATAATTATTGTTGATCCCCCCCACCGGTGCATATTGTTTTTCTCCATCAAAGTGTGCCCCTCGACGCTCGCATCTGGTTTTTTGACAGGGATACTCTTCCTGCTCAAACTGGGCCCCTGGCCTCCAGGTTACAACAACAACCTCTCCCGCTTGAGATTTCCTTACAATTTAGCCAGGACCCCCGCTCCCGCCCGAGACATCCTCGCATTTTATTCAGGAATCACGCTCTCGCTTGGGACTTCCTTGCAATTTATTCAGGAATCGCTCTCCCGGCGCTCTGGAGTCACGCTCTCGCTGGAGATTTGCTTGCAACTTACTGAAGAATGGCCTTGCGTTGATTTTTTTTGCAATTTGCCCAAGCGCCGCGCTCCCGACACCCAGGCACCCAGGAGTCGCGCCCGTTGGGGCCCCATGTGCATGCCCTTCGTGGCCCCGCTGTCGCCATTTGTGTCCCCCTCACTGTCCTACGTGGCCCAGTTGCGACCCCCAGTGGCCCCATAGTTGCCCGCTGTGGCCCCGCATTATCTGCACTTCGTGGCCCCCGCTCGTTCGCGCTTTCCGTGGCCCCATACGCATTCCCTTTCGTGTCCCCGCTGTCGCCTTTCGTGGCCTACTTCGTGCCCTTCGTGGCCCTGCTGTCGTTCTCTCTCGCTCTCGCTTTCGCTCGTCGTCGCCGTCGTCGTCGTCGCCGTCGTCTTCGACGACGTCGTCGTCGTCGTCGTCGTCGTCGTCGTCGTCGTCGTGGTCGGTCCCCTGTCCGTCCCTTTTGGGGTCGGGTCGACGGCCCGCGGCCGCCCCGCCGATCAGCGCTGCCGCTGGCCAGGCCGACGGTCCGCGGCCGCCCCGCCGCTTGCCGGGGCCCGGCTTGCAAGGAAGAAAGGTATACCCCCCAACAGGGTTTCGATCGAAGACGAGAAGGGCGGGTATCGAGGGTTTGGGAAATACGCGTTATCGGACACTCGAGCATATAAGGGCGATCAGTCTTAAAAGTATTGTTGCTGTTGAACATTATTTATTCTAAAGAATAATTATTGTTGGGCCCCCTGGTGCGCGCCCCCCCTGCGCCGCCTAGGCCGCAGCTACATTTTCATCATTTTCGTGAGGAAGCCTCAGAAAAGAGGGTGTGTACAGGATCCGGTTGTTTTGTTGTAATCCGCTTTCCCTTGCAAAAAACAATAGAAAATGACATTTCTTGTTCTAATATAATCAAATTTCAAGAATCCCTTGCAAAAAATAAGGTAAAGTGGACATTCGCGCGCGCAAGACGAAATCCTTCCAAAACCTTAGTGTTCGCAGCGATTTTAACATAAAAACATCAAAAAACCAATGGTTTTTCAACAAAAAAAATGTCAAAATCTCATCCCGCGCGCTCTTGCGGATTCGTAGGAAACCCAACACTTTTTAAACATTTCTGTCAAACGGGCTTTTGCGAGCAACTTTTTCGAACTTCTGCGACAACGGTTGCGCACCTGCCAGGGCCAGAGCCGCGGCGGGGAAAAGACGGTGGGTGGGCGTGCAAGCGCCGTTCCCGCCCCTCCTTCCGTTCTCTCTTCTCTCCTTTCCTCCTTGTCCTGCTCCTCCTCCTCCTCCTCCTCCGGCGGGGGGCGTGAGGATCCGGCATCGCTCACAACCATCGGGACAACCATCGGGACAACCATCGGAACAACCATCGGGACAACCATCGGGACAATCATCGGGACAGTCATCGGGACAACGATCGGGACAAGCACAACCATCAGGACAACCATCGGGACAATCATCGGGACAACGATCGGGACAACCACAACCATCAGGACAACCATCGGGACAACCATCGAGACAACCATCGGGACAACCATATCCTCTCTCTCTTGTGTATTCCCACATCCCTCAGGAATTTGCCCTAAAGATGTGATCAACTATCTTGTGAGTACGTATCATGTGTATCATGTGTATCATGTACCATATGCATCATATGCAACAGATGTTCTGTGGAAGGCTTAACAACTTCTGTGGGTTAACAAGGCTTAACAACTTCTGTGGGTGTACGAACGTAGGCTTAACAACTTCTGTGGGTGTGTACTCCACGCCAGTGTAGTAGCCACGGTCGTCCGCAGGCCACGAAGTGAAGTGTCCGAACGTCATAGGGCGGGAAGCTGGGTGTGGGTGGTGGCGAAGAGTCGTGTGGATATTTGGTAGAGCTTGCACTGCCCCCCCACAAAGTGGGGGTATTGGCTGGCGTCGCATGAAAACCCTGGCACTGGTGAGAACACTGAGCGTTCGGGTAAAGTGATTGTTGTTGTTGTTGTTGTTGTTGTTGTTGTTGTTGTTGTTGTTCTCGTTGTTGTTGTGTTCGGCCTCGGGGGGCCTCGTTGGGCGCGGGCACCGTCGAGAAACTACTCGGGTTGAAATGGTCAAGACGTCTTGGCACTTCTCCGCCCGCGGAAACCTCCTCAGAGAAGGCGCCCGCCCGCTCCATGCCGCGGCAAACGGCGGCACCGCGCAGCATCCGACACGCCGAAAGCGGAAGCGAACAAGTCGCGATACATTCTCCTTCGGCTCCACCCGGGGGGAGTGCAGAAAGCCCCGATCGCACATTCGTCGCCGATTGGGGCCCGATACGCCCACCCCGCCCAGGAACGTGCGGACTCACGATCGGGGGCCTATCGGCGACGTATCGCCGATTCCACGCCGTGCGGACTCACGATCGGGGGCCATCGGCGACGTATCGCCGATTCCACGCCGTGCGGACTCACGATCGGGGGCCTATCGGCAATGTGTCGCCGATTCCACGCCGATGTTCCCCCCCCTGCGCCAGACCTCAAGGGAGGACAAACCACCCGGACCCGACAATTGGCATTTGCGAAACGGCCCTGGGCGTTTACTAAACAGGCCTGCCCTGTTTGATTCCTTCTTTGGGCGCGTCAAGGGAGCCTCTCGCCGCGCGCCGCCACTTCTCGGGCCTGTCCCCCGCGTGCCGTGGGCAGAGGCCCGGAGTGGGCCTCTGAGAGCCCCCCGTCGGGGGTGGCGCAAGGGGGGAGCGATGCCGAGGGGGGGGGAAGGTTTCTCCGAAGGGCTTATTAGGCGGCCCGTCCTCCTCCTCCTCCTCCTCCTCCTCCTCCTCCTCCTCCTCCTCCTCCTCCTCTCCTCCTCCCCTCCTCCTCCTCCTCCTCCTCCCCCTCCTCCTCCTCCTCCTCCTCCTCCTCCTCCCCTCCCTTCCTCCTCCTCCTCCTCCTCCTCCTCCTCCTCCTCCTCCCTCGTCCTCCATCTCCTCCTTCCCCTCCTCCCCCTCCTCCTTTTCCGCCTCATTCTCCTCCTCCACCTCCTCCTCCTCGCCCTCCATCTCCTCCTTCCCCTCCCTCCTCCTCCTCCCCCTCCTCCACCGCCTCCTCCTCCTGCTCGGGTCGCCTACGGCCCCGGGGGAAACCGTGCAGGGGGGTTGGGAAGAGTGGTGCACGTTTCGTGCACCTTTTATTTATACCACAATGCCTAAGTCAGGTGCCAAGTCATCGTAACGGCCGCGCACGGAAGGACAGTATGTGAGCCAACGCCTGAACAGGCTCGCCCATGGCGATGGTTTCTGATAGAAATCCAGAAACAGGGTCAGACATAAACGTTCCAGCCTTCATTGCAAAAGACCGCGTTGTGCTCTGACCACAGACAGTAACAGCTTCGATGCACCACGCGGCCGCGGAGCAGTGCCCGGCGCGAGTACCACCGTCAAAATGCATGAAACAATTTGCAGTTGGGGCTTCTTGGGGGTCCGAAAGGTACCCTGTTGGGCCCCACAGGAAAGGGGGCACGGGAGGTGCACGTTTCTTCGCCGTTCTTGGATCGTCCCCCTGGGTATTTCCTGGGCCCCCAGGGCAACGGGCACGACAGGCGCATGTCTCTTCGCCCCCCCCGCTGATGGCCCCCCACGGAGCAACTCCTAGCCCTGGCCTTCTTGAAGAGCTGGCCACCCCAGCTCCGGAGGCTGCGCGGGGCTGCGCCTCGGCGCACCGCGCCGACGGCGGCGGCGACCGCGGCGACGACGGCGGCGCCTGCGAAGGCGGCGGCGGCGGCGGCGGCGGCGATGACGACTGCGGCGGCGATCCCGGCGGCGGCGGCGGCTCCGCCTTCGCGCCAGGACGAGTCCGCGGTTCTCCACGCGCTGCGCGCCGAGAGGGCGGAGCTCCAGGCGCGCGCGCGCGGGGCCCGCCGCCTGCGGCGGCATGGGGAGGGCGGGCGCCTTCTCTCCGTGGGCGGGATGGGGTCGGACGTTGGTAGGAGGAAGTCGGGCCTGTCCCTCTACAGGAGGAACATTTAAAAATAATCCATAAAGAGTCTGGGGACTTTTTTTAATTCTGAATATGTTTGAGAATGTTCGGGCTCCTTCTTATTTCCTCCAAAATCTGCCGGTAGGAGGGCATGTCGCACCTTAGGCTAGGGCGAGGACAACTCCGTTCCAGAGCGTGCCAGAACGCTCTCAGAGCGTTCCGGCACGCTCTGAGAAGGCCGCGGCGACCCTTATAGTATCTTCTAGAGCCGCCGGACGTCAGAGATTCTTGATGCGTTATAGCCCCCCGATGTTATCCTCGACCTAGCTTCGTTTCATGGGGTCGAAGTAGGCCAGTGGCGCAGGATCGAGTACGGTAGTATCGCGTCGAGTCGACCAGCGGCGACCCCGCCCCCGGCGTTCGACATGGGGCGCCGCTGGCGGCCCAGCCCAGAATCGGTCTGACGATGTGGAAGCGGCCAATCTGTCAAGGTTGAACTACCTTCGCGGCGTAGGGAATTAGCGCCGAGGTCAGCAGGACACCAACCATCCGTCGTCGCCGACCTTCGCGGTGTCAGGACTCAGCGCCGAGGTCGGCACGACGTTCTGGAAACGGCCGATCGGTCAAGGTTGAGCGACCTTCGCGGCGTCAGGAACCAGCGCCGTGGTCGGCACGACACGAACCATCCGTCGTCGTCGTGGGCGTTATCGATATTCAGGTCGTCGTCGCCGTGGGCGCCGTCGTCGTGACTGTTATCGTCGTGGGCGTCATCGTCGTGGACGTCATCTTTCATCGTGTGCCCGATACGAGCCATCCGTCGTCGTCGTGGACGTCGTCGTCGCCGGGGTCGTCGTCGCCCGGGGAGCTGGCGTCTGGCAGGTAGCTGGGCCCCTCGAACCTCAACAAGATGTAGTGAAATTGTAGAAACCCCCAAACGTTTTGCAGGACAGCTCGAAGTAGACCCGCCCCCAGAGAGACAACAGGGTCCAGAATCAAGACCCACACCACAATCTTGTTCGTCGAGGCTCGATAGACCCACCCGACCCAAAACTAGACCCCCCATCATTATGAGTGGACCCGCCCAAACCGGGGGTGGACTCAAACTGTGTTTTGGCAATTTCGTGGGCGGTTTTCGTTTTGTTTTCGCTTTGCAGCAACGTTGGAACGAAGACAAAACGAGAGAAACTCATAACAACACGAATGCGAAACACTGTCTAGGCTGAGCCCTGCCTCAAACATTTTGCATGGCAGCTCGAAGTATGCCCCCCACGGAGAGACAACAGGGTCCCAAACCAAGACCCTCACTACAATCTTGTTTTGTCTAGGCTCGTTAGACCCCCCAAAAGTGGACCCCCCCATCATTATGAGATGCGGAGCGCTCACTAACGAGTTCTCTGGTCCCCCGCAGAACGGTGCCACTATGTGGCATTTCTCGGGTTCGCCGGGTCGCTGGCCAAACAGAGGTGATGAGATCGAGTCAGGAGTGCCAAGAGGGACGTGATGATCAGGTGGAAGATATTATGGCTCCTCATCTCATTTTTGATACGTGCCCTCGTTGCCCCCCTTGTCGCACACATACCTCGGGCAATGATTTGCGACCCCCCCTCTTGGACGCCCCCCTCTTGGACGGCCCCGACATGGAGGAGGGGAGCATGGAGAGATAGGAGTGAGGGAACGAGGAGACGGATGGGGGGAGGGAAGGCACGGAGGGGGTGGAGGGGGAGGGAGGGAGGGCGGATTGGGAGATACAGCTGGCACGAGGGCTAAGAACAATCACAGCTTGAGAGATGTGCCCCATGTTCTTCGCCGTTGGGCTCTCCACCTTGGAGTGCTCTTCGTTTTAGATGTTTCTATGGGGCCCTGGGCTCTCGGCGAAGGGGCCCATGTTCTCGATCCACGTTCATGTGACCCTGTTTCGGCTGTAGGAGCGAGGAGGCGGAGGAGGGGAGGAGAGCGGACGGAAGGCAAGCTAGGTGCACTCGCCCCATCCTACCCCTCCCACCCATCGTTCCGATTGGTCCCAAGTATGGAATCGCTTCGCTCATTCCGCCAGCCCGTTTCACACAACCGTGGCTGCGTGATTGTGTGCTCGTGCCCAGGGGGGAATGGTAGGGCAGGCAGGAATGTCCTCGATGAGATTTTTGGAGATGTGGCTCCCACCCTGTCGAAGAGAGCCGATAGACTGCGCCAGAGGGCGCCAAGATGGCTCAAGAGAACTCCAGCAGAGTTTCGAGACGTGCCTAGGTTGTGGGTCAGAGTCCTCATGGATGCTTCTTGGGGTCTCCTTGGAGGGCTCTCAGGAACCTCTGGGGAGAAGTTTTGAGGCTTCTGGCGAGCATTTTGGGGGGTTTCTTGGGGACCTCTTAGTGCTTCCTGGGGTCCTGCCAGGGGTCTTGGGGGCTTTTGGGGGGCCCTCTGGGGGGCCTCTTGGGGCCCCTTCGGTGGGCTCTTGGGGGCTTCTGGGGGCTTTCCGGGCGCCTCTTGGGGCCGACAGCTCGAAATGTCCGTTCGGGTTCCCCCTCTGGGCTCCTTCTTGGGGCCATCCTGGGGCCGTCTTGGAGGCCTCTTGAGTTGAAAGGGGTGGGAGGCCCAACCAGCAGCTTCGCCTAAGGCGAAACCCATATCCAACTCTGTTGTACCGTAGTAGCGATAGTCCCAGAAGTAGGAGATCGTCGCGGGAGTGACGGGCCATCTCAAGCGAATATGTATTCGGTCTCGATGGCAAGTAGTGCGCTTCGCGATGAGGCACAGTCCTAGCTTGGCGGCCGGCCGCTTGAACACAAACGGCCGCGGACAAACGCTCGCTATCTCTCGCTTTTGCCCTAGCTCTCTTTCGAATCGGGGGGGGGAGGGGACGAAGCGTGACTCCGCCGCACGCTATACATTAAGCACTACATGTACAACGAAGGCAGCAAAAGGCAGGTTCAACAACAAAGTGAACCCGCACGCAAATGCCCTTGCACGCAAGTTGCCTTGCGAGCAGATCACTGTGCAAACGAGTACCCCTCAGGCGGCCTCAGACGATGTTGTCTGGTCAGCCCAGTATGGAGTATGACGTTTTAAGGCGTGCTTGAAGGATTGCAATCCCCCCGCGACCTGTAAGAGCATATCTCTGTCAATGCTCCTCTTGGTGTTACCGTCCGTGATCATGTCGCGAGTGTCACAACATTGTATTGTATGCACGATACATCGCTCCATCATCTGTCGTATCCAACTGATGTGCCCCAAAAAGGTACACTCGGTCGGTTTCTCCCGGTCTTTGCTTGGCAAGGGGTTGAAGACATATTCAGCATCTATGGTCAAAGTAATATTAATGCTCAGGCCGCCCATCACCAGTAGATCCTTCAACTGAGTGCCGGCGGCCCTGCGTGGAGTTCGTGCAGAGTGACGATCGTGGGATAGCAGTCCTCCAAGTTCTGTGTTGCTGCCAGTGCTTCTGCTGAATAGCTCGAGCGGGCCTGCAAGCGGCGAGACTTGCAGTGCGCATCGGTATGATGGACGACAGGCGTACCAGCAGGCGTGTTTCCATGCCGTAGCAGGTTCGCCCCGCGAATGCCATAGCCTTTGACCCCATCACCAGCGTCACCACTCAGACGTCAATCTCCGGAGTCGGTGTGCAGGTCGACTTCGCCCGTCGGAGTCATTGATCGATAAAGGATCTCATGAGGACAGGCCTGCAGCTTCTTGGTAATCGCGATTAGTCGTCACACCTGTATGTTGGTCGTTTCTTTGACGCGCTGTAGGGAAACAACATATATCATCAACCCCACCTGTGTGATCAAAGCGCACGCCAACGCGCCTATGAGGCTGACAGGCATGTCTTTGGTCGTCTTTGATGTCTTGGCGTCAGCGCCTGCGCCGGTGAGTTCGGACGGACCTGTTTGATTGATTCATTTGGATCAAGTGCAACGGTACCGTCCCTATCCGTGGTATACATCACAGCACAATTGGTATCTGTATGTTTGTTGGGTTTACATTTACGAAAAGTATTCTCAACACGGTTGACGCACGTGTCGAGGGTGTCCTAAGTGCCCGCCATATTGATATCATCAACGTCCTTGGCTGTGAGAAGGTTGTTGATTGTCTCGAACTCCTCGTCGTAGGACGTGGATCTGAGACCAAACCCTCCTGTGGTCGTTTGGAGCTTCAGTGAGGAGGGTCTGGGTGCATCCTTGGTGCCGGTACCTGGCTTGAGGCATTGCGAGCAATGCTTCGACGCATCGTGATGCTCGAATCCTGGGAGGGATCGAAGCACCGATGCTGCTCCGGGTGGCAATGTAAAACACACCGCGCGTTCTTTTTCACCAATTGCCTCAGCAAGTTCCTGATCGTGTCAAGGGAGCCAATGATCCATTGCTTCTTGCACGCCGCAGCGCTCGCGAGTAGTGTCTGACTTGGCCGCCGCGCCGTCGCTGAGAAGGTTTCCGCGTCGAGGGCTTCGAAGTTCATGAAGCTCCGAAGTACCAGGCGTAGTCCAACTGTCCGTTCCATCTCGCCAGTTTTCGTTCCTTACGAACTGCCACTTTCATGCGCATGTCGGGGTCATGCTGTTTGACGCCTTTGATCCATCTGGCATCTTGAAACATTCGATATCAATCCATGCGTTGAGTTCAGTATATAAGGCTTGTGATACCTTGACGGGGTTCGCCTGAACGTCGGCGTTCGTGAGGAGGTCGCCCCCCTTAACGACCGCGGATCGCGTTGCGGCAGCGGTCGCCTATACTCGCATGGCGGTCACGCGGTCGAAGTCTGGTATCCGATGTTGTTGTTCGGATAGGACTGCCTTTGACATGTGCGCGGTAAAGCAGAGTTCTACATATTGTCAACCTTCCCGTCCGGGTCCAATCCGTAAGTGTCGTCTTCGTCCGTGGAACATAGGGGGGCGTGATATGTTTCCGCGATGTCGGAGTCGCGTGGATAG